TATATATTCTGTTTCATTTATTCTTTAATGATTGGAATTAACATTATAGTAAATTAATAATGTATGCCCATTATTTTTATTCTGAAGCATTGGACTAATTTCATTTACTAATGTGCTGCTTGGTTTTTGTGTTTATTGCCTTCAGGTGACCAAGCACGTACTTTTTTCCTACAATCGGGTCTGCCGGCTCCTGTTTTAGCTGAAATATGGTAAAATGTATTATTTTGTAGAAGAACTTAAATTTCTGATAGTCTGGTTTTTTTATAATATAGTGTTAAAATTGTTTTTAGCTGTACTTTATTATTATTAGATAAGAATATTTCTTCAGTTTTTTTGAAAATAAATTTTGTCGAGCAAATGATTGAAAATAATTTGGGGTTAGTTCCATAGGACAAACATCTAATTTCTTTAGAATTTCTAAGTAAGAAAATGTATACATAATCTTTAAGAAACATTTCTTTATAACTTGGCAAAATCTCAAAATCTTCTGTTACTTTTATTCCATTTCTGTTTCATTTATTCCATCATCTCTAAACCCCAAATTAGCCCTTCCTTCCCTGGTCCTACTTTAAAGAAATTATTCTCTCTAATATCTGTTTTTTTAATAAAATATATACAATATGTAACAACCCCTACCCCATCTGTCTTTCCACTTGGAACGTTCTCAGGCCTGGCAGAGTGCAAGTCACATAGCAAGTATTCAATAAGTATTTGAACAAATGAATAAATTAAAAATTTATTAAATCAGTTAAATTTAGAAGTATTATACTCTTGAATTTTTTTTCTGCCCACGTTGGTGGAATTCATCCCAAAGGTCTCTATATTCTATATAGACAGGCAGTGTTTTATTGAATGCTATCTCTGGTTATTATTTCTTAATGTGCCGGTTTTAGCTTTTTCTAATTTATATATATATTTTTAAATTAAGTGAGATTTACATGTGAATGCTAAGCCATTGTTTTTGTTTTGTCAACACCAAAAGTAATGGTAGTTTTCCCACCACCGCCCCACATACCAATTTACCCACCTCATGCTCCTTTTAGGGCTTTGTCAGACTTGAACAAGGATGGCAAGATGGATCAGCAGGAATTCTCCATAGCTATGAAGCTCATCAAACTAAAGCTTCAAGGCCAGCAGTTGCCCATGGTTCTTCCTCCTATTATGAAACAACCTCCTATGTTCTCCCCATTAATTTCTGCTCGTTTTGGTATGTATTTATTAATTTAATTACCTGTATTTGATAGTTAAACTTGATTCCTAGGCATACTATTTGGGGATTAGAAAAGGAGTTGTTAGCACAAAATGACAGTTCCTAGACTCCAAATTAATTTTCATGTGTGAGATAAGAAATATTAAATTCACTGTCATAGGGTGTCCATGTGTTCCAGTTTTCTAGAAACAGTTCTGGATTATGTCTGTTGTCCAGGTTTAGTTAGTATCCCCCTTCACAACTCCCCGTTGAGTAATACAGTATATGGTCCCCTAGGTATAGCTGATCCTAAATACTATTCTTAATTAGTTTCTTTTATGTGTATGAGCAACACAGAAAAACTTCGAACAATTTTAAGCCCCTCTGAAATGATTTAATTTGGGAGGTAATTTAAAATTATATGTAAGTAGAAATTTCTTTAATTTAAAAGTTACCTAGCCAGATTTAGGGCTGAAAATTGCAGACTTTGGTCTAATTGATTTATATGTTCATCAGAGATAACCAGTTGGTATTAATTTTGATTAGCCAGTTTCTTATTAATTATGTATGAAAAACATATCTGTACATATCTGAAATATGTTCCTTCACTCCAGGTGTTATATCTTAAAACACAGAATTCTAGAGCCAGGCTCTAGTATGTGCCTGTAGTCCCAGCTAATAGGCTGAGGTAGGAGGATCACTTGGGCCCAGGAATTCCAGGCTGATGTGCACTATGATCATACCTGTGAACAGCCACTGCACTCCAGCTTGGTGAGACCCCCAGCTCGAAAACAAACAAAACCCACAAAATTCTTTGACTGTTGCAGTGAGCTCTAGACATAAATACTAAATCAATGTGTGACCATATTTATATATTGTACTTATTATTCTGCAGTTAGTAAATGAATAAAAATAATCACTGTGCTTCTTTTAAAGACTTGTCCTTGAATTTATAGGTATATTACTTATAAGAAAAGTAAAATATGTAGCACACTTTCTTGGAAATAATGCAGATGCATAAATGGGTCTCCAGAGTATCTACTAAGTAGAACCTTATTTTTTGGTTATTTGTGGAGTGTGTGTGTGTGTGTGTGTGTGTGTGTGTGTGTATTAGTCAAGTAACTTAGCAGCACTGTATTTGTTATCCTTATACAAAAAAATGTCATTTAGTCAGGTAATACATTCTTTCTTTGAGGATACTAATATTTAATTCATAAAGGCTGCTTAGTTTTACTCATGGTGAGAGAAGAGAATCTTTAACTCCTTAGTAGGTATTTTCTTAGTTTATACAGAATATTAATATTAAAAGCAGTAGTTTACCTCCTTCACTGCTGAGTCAAAGCTGCTTTTGTGAGGTTTTTAAGGATTATTTGCTCATGGTATTTCTATAAACATAGAGTCTGCTCACTTTACTGTAAACTTGTTTTTTGGCATGTGTTTTATAATTCATTTACTAGCATTGTAAAAATGTGTTCTTTTTTGTCTTTAGGAATGGGAAGCATGCCCAATCTGTCCATTCCTCAGCCATTGCCTCCAGTTGCACCTATAGCAACACCCTTGTCCTCTGCGACTTCAGGGACCAGCCTTCCTCCCTTAATGATGCCCACTCCCCTAGTGCCTTCTGTTAGCACATCATCATTACCAAATGGAACTGCCAGTCTCATTCAGCCTTTATCCATTCCTTATTCTTCTTCAAGTAAGCACTTCGTTTCTAATGAGTCAGTGTTTTATGTGAAGAAACTGTTAGGTTTATATCTGAATAGGTACAGATTTCCTTCATGTTTGTGATGTTACTTAGTGTGAACCTTTTCCTTTTTCCTTTTTTTTTTTTTTTTTAGCATTGCCTCATACATCATCTTACAGTCTGATCATGGGAGGATTTGGAGGTGCTAGTATACAGAAGGCCCAGTCTCTGATTGATTTAGGATCTAGTAGGTATGAATACTTACTTAACACGTAACTTTTCATGCTTTCAATAAGAAGTCTTTATTTGACAAATGACTTTTTTTAAGCCAACTTATCCACGTTTTACTTTGTAATGGCTAAATCTAAGTACTTAACATAAATTTACTACTTAAAACTCACATAAAATAAATTTTTTATTTTTAGAATTATAAGATGTATTTTACTTTTCAAAAAAATATTTCACATAAACTAAAAATATTCTGCTATATTTTAGTCAATTTTTTTTTTGTCTAAAGCTTTGTACTTTTACTTTTAAAAATGTATGTATTTCCCAGAATGTCTCATTATCATTGTACATAGTTAATTTCTTTCTTGAGCAAATTCTGTTAATTGGGTATCTTTTAAACTTTAGAAAGCACAAAAGCATCGATGTTCATTCGTCACTGTTCATATAAATCACTATTATATTCTTCAAAGCAGTGTACAAAGAGTATTAGCTTTGACCGATAAGAATATTTGTATCCCAGCTTAAACACTCACTGATTTTGGGACCTTGTTTTTTCTTAAAGCCATAGTTTACCCATCTGAAAGATGGGGACAGTAATATCTTTCGTTGGAAGGATTAGAAATAATATTTACAAAGGCCCTAGTACAATATAGGACTGGCACATAGTAAGGTTCTTAATAACAGTGGTCCCATGGAGTTCTGTGTTTAATATGGTATTTATTTTAGTAAGAATAATGACAGTTGCTTAA